CCTTTTTTAGAAGCTATACGTAGAAATACCAATATTAAAGAATATAAGTATAAGGGAGAAGAGGTTAAAGTAACCGCTTTCGCGGATGATGTCTTAGTCATAGAACCTCAATATACACTTCCTTCTGTTCAGGAAGAATTGGAGAAATTCGGTACTCTATCAAATTTTAAGGTAAATACAGATAAATCTGAAATATTGGGAGTAGGGATAAGCATAGGAATTAAGGAAAAAATATAGAAGATTTACAGGTATAAGTGGACAGACTCTAGCATAATATACTTAGGAGTACATCTGACAGCTCATTTAAAAGATTTATTTAAACTAAACTATGGAAAATTACTAAGAAAAATTGAAGATTTAAAAAATTGGAACCAACCCTTCTACTCATTAATAGGGAGAGTTAACATCATAAAAATGATGATACTACCTAAGGTATTATACTTATTCCAGACATTGGCTATCTTGCTGCCGAAAGCCTTTTTTGTGAAAGTACGATCTATATTGCTTTAATTTATATGGAATAATAACTATCCACGTATCGCGTACAATACATTGACTTTACCAGTTGAGAAAGGAGACCTTGGCCTCCCACATGTTTATAAATACTATGTTCCGGTACTATGTGCGCGAATTAGAGAATGGACAGCTATAGACAAAAAAAAGACTTAGTATAAATTAAAACAAGATTTTATAAAGGTTAAATTGGAGACCCTACCATGGCAGAATTGTAAATTAAATTTATTATCTCCTTCTAATCACCCAATTATAAACCATATAATACAGAGAAGGTTTAAAGATAGATGGAGGCTATCTCCGGGACTATCAGTATTTTTTCCAATTGCATCAAACTTGGAGTTCCACCATGGGATGAGCCACAAAATACTGGGAACGTTAACGGGAGAAGCAGACCCGCCAGTAACAAGTTTAATAAAAGACGGTACACCCACTAGATTAAGAGAGTTTCCTAACTGCGACAATATGACAACACTTCTAGATAAAATGGGTATGGCTTATTTAAAGTTTTTTTTTAAACCAAAAAGTGTTACCATACTGGCAGACAAGAGATAAAACTGAGTTTGAGTTACTCTGTGGTACCGGGATAGAGAAAAAACGATATCTGTCTAGTATCTATAACCTAATTCAGAGGGGTTCTATGGATAAGATAGTACCCTCATTTCAGTTGAAATGGATGCTAGGATTGAACATCCAATTGACTGGCACTGACTGGTCATTTGTGTTCACTGCTAGGAAAATTATTTTCTTTAAAAGAATTACTAGATGGTATAATACTCCAGATTGACTTAAGAAATATGGTGTATCTGCATTGGATGAATGCTGGAGATGTGGTGAGAAGGGAGCAAACATGGAACACATCTGGTGGGAGTGTAAACTTATTGGGAACTACTGGATCCAAGTATTGAGTGTCATCTATAAGAATTTACCAATGTCAGATCAATTGTCCCCATCTAAGATCTTACAGGGCTGGCCAGCTTCTTTCAAGGAGAACAATAAACAGATATTGTTAAGTTTCTTATTAAATGAGGCAAATGCTTTGATCCCGCTGTATTGGCTTAAACCTAGCATCCCGACTGTAAAACAATGGATTATTAGAGTGGATTCATTAAGGGAACTAGAAGAGATTCATTGGACTACCCAGGGAATAAGAGATCACTATGTTAAAGGACCACTATAGTGCCCTGAGGGTGCCCCCACCCTCAGGGACCCCCTCCCGCCCGGCTCTGGGGAGAGGAAAGGGGTTAAAACTTTCCTTTTTCCAGCGCTGGGCGGGGAGCTCTCCTCCCCCGATCCTCCTCCTCTCCTCCCATTCGGCTGAATGCGCACGCGTGGCAGGAGCTGCGCGCGCATTCAGCCGGTCTCATAGGAAAGCATTCATAATGCTTTCCTATGGACGCTGGCGTGCTCTCACTTTGAAAATCACAGTGAGAAGCACGCAAACGCCTCTAGCGGCTGTCAATGAGACAGCCACTAGAGGAATTGGAGGAAGGATTAACCCATTTACAAACATAGTAGTTTCTCTGAAACTGCTATGTATATAAAAAAATGGGTTAACCCTAGCTGGACCTGGCACCCAGACCACTTCATTAAGCTGAAGTGGTCTGGGTGCCTAGAGTGGTCCTTTAAGAAATGGGACCCTTGGATAAAGTTCTGGGCAGGACTATCATAATAAGACTATTTTTTGACAAACTGACGATGAGCAAATAAAATACTAATGTAAAATAGAACATTAATGTTAGAAATAGAGGCAGAGCTATATTCTTCTTTTTTTTTTTTTCTCTTTCTCTCTTTTCCTTTTTTTTTGTTTTTTGTTCTGTTGAGATGCATATGATGACGTGGGACCTTGATAATGCTATTTAGTTATGGCTTAAAGTAGTCCCAATATCTGATGATAAATTTAGAAAAAAATAAATATATATATAAAATATAAAAATACCCCAAAACATTATACATCTTTAAATAGCCCTGACCTGAGCGCCAAAGTTCTCCAAATAGCGCTCAGATCCATGCAGGGTAGGGGAAACACTACTGTGTTAAAGTTCTGATGGGGGCTCCTGCTGCTGCAATATGGGGCTGTCTGCCTAGGTCACTGGTAGAGTTTGTTCCCCTTAGTCTCAGGCACCTTCCCTCCAAAAAGCACTCTCCTGGCGGGAGCCGCACGGTGACCTCATGCCGAAAACAGTTCCATTTGATTTGCAACTAAGTCACGCTAAGGTGACCAGGAACCCACAAAGTCCTCATGACGATTTTAGTTCCATGACGATCGCAGCTAAGTACCACTGAGGACAATCCGTGGGTTTCTTCATGCAAACGGCTGCCAGGAAACTAGTGTTTGGTTCCATTCTAATAAAGGGAAAGTGTAATATACAAACAAATCACCAGTATCTATAGAGGTGATCCTATTACATACACCAAAAAAATGGCAGCGGAAGTATCCAGCGGTGACCCGAAGCTCGCGCATGCGCAATAACTTTGTGAATATTTTCTCCTAGTTCAATCTTATGTCATGACTCCTGCTGGACTGGTGCCATACTGATGAGACCTACAAAGTCAAAACTGCAGTCCATGGCTGGTTTCTGGTCACTGATCCTTGGGTCATAGTGTATTCACTGGTTTTGTTTTTTAAATAATCTGTGTTTAAAACAGTGTCCATTGCTAAAGGTGCCTATAGAAATGCATCTAGAAGTCAGAAAGAAATGCACCATGAAGATCAGCCCGGTGGGCTGTGATGGCCATGGGCCAAGACCAGTAGAGGAGATCAAAAATGTACCGAGACTAACCCTTTGACAATGCTGAGGAAAAAAGGATGCGTGTAAAAAAGTATCAATCAGTCCTTTCACACTGACATAGTTCAGTACTACTCCACTCTTTCTCTGTGAGTCATTTTACCTATTTATTTTAAATCTGCATCCATTATTTGTAATATAGTTCATCTTCAAGGCACCATAACCACTAGAAGTTATGGATGCCATCCTACTTCATATTAGCAAACAGTTTAACCCCAAATTCTGGAAAACGGTGCTTTATCGCTCTTCCCTTCCACTTCCTCTGAAGGTCTGAGGCTTCAATCAGGAAGCCCATACACAACCTCGCGGAAAGGCTGATGTTCTCAGCCTTTCAAAAGCTTCCCAGTCAGAAAATGAAAAAAGTATGCATCCTTTCCACTCATTTTCTAAATGAAGAGCTTCTGATATGCGTAGAGTGTCAGCTAATGCTCTAAATCTATCAGCATCATCCGGTCAAAGACTTCAGACCTTTAGAGGAAGTGTTTGGGTTAAACGCTTCACGGTTTAACACCTTAGGGTGAGATGGTGCCATGAAACCTCATCACACCATAACAACTTAATTGTGATAAAGACATTCTGGTGGCCTGAGTACCGCTTTAGTGCTACAACCACAACTTGGGAAATAAAGTTGTTTTTCTGCTTGTCATTTAAATTTTATTTAAGATTTACTTTAAAATTCTCCATACCTGGTACCTAGTTCCACTGAGATTACATAAAATGAACTCAGATATAAAATATACTGTTGCAGAGAATGTGCAGGTTTGGGCACAGTAGCACACATATGGTGATACTGTCCTAAATTAACAAAATTCTGGAAGAGTAAACACAAACTAATTCAGAAATTTAACTCCTCTATAACATCTGAAATTTGATTACCGTATTTTCCAGCGTGTAAGACGACTGGGCGTATAAGTTTTCCAGTTAAAATATAGAGTTTGGAAATTACTCACCATTTAAGACTAACCCTCTTCCAACGCACACCAAATAAAAATTAAAAAAACATCAGATTTGATATCAATATGAAAATTTTAATTCAAATGCTTATGACATGCAGGTACTTAGCAGGAAAAGTGTCACTTATAAACATAAGGCTGTTTGTCATCAAACATGTAAACATAAAACAGTACAAGTGGATTAAACGTTTCCTAATTCACCCTAAAGCTGAAAGGAAGGATAAGACAATAACCCCATGGGAGCTGCCATGCTGTTTGTTTTCTAAGCTGTCAACCAAACTGGAACTGATGATGATGATAGGAGGAAGATAGCAAACAATAGAGAGAGAGAGCAAGTCCCTAGCGAGTTAGCAACGCCCATCATAACTGCAAGCCACTGTTTTTTTTACAGGTTTTGCTGGCGTGACAGTTTCCCTTTAAAAGCCTTCAAAATCCTCCTTTTTGTCATCTGATGTCATAAGTACATCAATGACATCTTGTGATACATTTGTAAGGCAGTCATCGTATGGATCGAATTCTGTATCAGATGGTGTGGTCTCAGCTTTTGCTTCCTCTTCATCTTGCCACAAGTAGTCGTCCTCCATACCATCTAATGAATTTGATATGCCACACTTCTTGAAAGACTTGATTACTGTTTCTGCATTAATATCATTCCAGGCTTTTATGACAAACTTGCACAAAACATCCAACTGTGGAGCACGCATGTTTCCTCCTTTTGTGAATGACTTTTCGCCACCAACCATCCATTCATTCCACTGTTCTCGAATGCGATCTTTAAATGGCTTGTTTAGGCACACATCCAGTGGCTGTACCAACGATGTCAATCCTGCAGGAATAACTGCCGCATCTGTGTTTAGTCTTGCAAGCCTTTGCTTGGTGCTGGGAGTTAAATGAGCCCTAAATATATCCCACACCAGTAGACTACGTTTTTTAATAAGTCCACCTGGTCGCCTGCTCCATACATTATCAAGCCACAGCTTTACCCCTTCTTCATCCATCCAGCCTTTTTCATTCACATGTACAAAACAACCAACAGGGAACTTGAGTTTCGGCATTGTTTTTCTTTTAAAAATAATCATTGGTCTCAGTTTGGCGCCATCAGCTGTGCATCCTAGTACCACTGTAAAACTGGACTTCTCATGTCCTGTTGTTTTAATTAAAATAGTTTTTTCACCTTTTTGATGGACAGTTTTATTTCCAACCATATCAAAATTCATTGGAGTTTCATCCATATTTCCAATACTACTTAACGCATAGCCATGTTTAGTGCGCTGCTGTATTACGTATCGATGGAAACTATGTACTTTGCTATCAAGATCTGCAGGTAATTTCTGGGCAATTTTCGTCTTTTGCCTCAGTACCATATTATGCCTTCCCATGAATCTAGTACACCAGGTTACAGTGGCCTTAAATCTGTTGCTGTGACCTGGTTAGATTTGGCCCACTAAAGTGCAAACAACCGTATTTTATTTCGTGTCACTACATAACCGTTTTGGCAATGCTCATTCACCATGTCTGCTACATGTTTTTTCGAGTTCTGGCCAATGTGGGGTGCCTCTTCTTAATGCACACTTACCCCTTGGCATAGTCTTTAATGCTTTTTCATTTGATTTCCAATCCCGAACCATCTTTTCTGTTACTCCATATTGTCTTGCAGCAGCCCAGTTATTATGTTCCATGGCAAAGTTTACAACTTTAAGTTTGAAACTGGCCTCATATTTCTTTCTTCTTGCTGGTGGAGACATGATGGGGTTTTGACTGTAGGACATTTGTATACTGTACTGTATGTTCTGTATTTACTGTATGTACTCTATCTACTGTCCTGGTACTGTACTGGATGAACAGGTACAGATACTGGTACTGTACTGTATGAACACGTACAGATACTGGTGCTGTACTCTATGAACAGGTACAGATACTGGTGCTGAATTGTATGTTGTACCCAGTATAACCAAAACAGAGCTGACCAAAACAACCAGCCAATCACGGCAAGTGATGTACCTTACCGGCGATTGGCTGGTTGGATTGGTCATCTCTCCCTGCCTGCCCAGCCCACCCTGTCTCCAAGACTATGGCAAACACGCCTCTTTCACTCGTCTGGCCTGCCCTTGTATCCTATTACCGTACCTCCTTCTCTGCCTTTCAGATCTCACACATGCATGGCTGCGCGGCTTCACTGCATATCTGAGATCTCGCTCCTGAGGACTGCAGTGAATCGGCGCATGTGCGAGACCTGAGAGGCAGAGAAGGAGGTATGGTAATAGGATACAAGGGCTTCTTCTACAGCGCCGCCCTTGCTGCTTTCATACGGTCGCCGCATACGGCAGGGATGTGGCCGCGGCCGTTTTTGAGCTCCCTCCCCCCCCCCATATGCGGCGACGTAATGGCTGGCTGTGGTAACTTCCAGCCATAAGACGATACCCGGCGTCTAAGACGACCCCCGACTTTTTAAAAGATTTTCAAGGGTTAAAAAGTCGTCTTATACGCCGGAAAATATGGTATTTAAACAATTTCCAAATTCAACAAGTAAAGTTGATAAAAAATAATTATTCCAACAAAAAACAACAAACTAATGACGTATGCTAAACTACCTAGGTAAGTGTATCATGAGACACAAAATGACCGACCATAATCCTATTAGGTTATCAGAATGAAACTGCAGTGTCCTCAGTAAGTCAATACCCTGGTTCCCTCATTGGCTGTCTGTGTAAAAGTTGTGTTGTCTGAGCAGTTTCTCCTGAGTCTGGTTATTTGACTCTTAGGGATACTATTGAGCCAGGCCTTATATATAACACACACAATCAATACAGATCTCCAAGGATCAAATCACCCAATGAAATTTCACACAGAGGCACTTTTGTAAATGACACTAACAAATACACTGCAATAGATAATAAAAATAGAAAAACTTCCAAATACACCAAGCCTTCGGATCATAATAGGAAAGATACCACACATCTCCTGGAAAGAGAGCAACCTTATAAAGAAGAAATAAATCCCCACAGAATTTTACCACTAGTTGTCAGACCTAAAACACACAGATACACATACGAACCACTTTCTCCACAACAAAAATATAGGAAAAGACACTATTCTTGGGAAAAAGTTACTGCAAAGAATCACAAAAGACATGATGAACACGAATCTAATACTCCAAATGATTTAACGACAAAAAATAGATACCACGCACTATCATTTTGTGAGCCATTTGATGAGACTTCTTTTTTAGAAATTCCTTCCAACAGAAAACGTCATAGAAATTACTTAAACATCACCCCAATAAACAGTCGAAAGAGAGACCTAGAGGACGAAGATCAGGGAGAAGACAGCAAAAAAGGACGGATAGAAAGATTTTAGCAGAAGATCCAAACTCTTCACCCACAGGCATTTTTAACCTCTCAAATAAAAACTTAAGTAAAACTGAAACGGATGTCCTGAAAAAAGGACTTAAATTTGCTCCAACAAAACCCTATAACTCTTTTATGAACTTTATAGACATTAATACATTTGTTAGAAATGCCACATTAAAAAGGTTCTTTGCCTCTAATAGTGATAGCAAACAAACTGATACAAGAAACTCCTCCACCCATAATCTAGCTAATAAATATATAAAAAGTAATCTTAAAAGCAAATCGAATTTTTATCCTGCACATTACAAATCTAGCGCCTTATACATTTTTGAAAAGAAAGTTGGAAGAGATATAAGAAATCTAGAAAATAATAACAAATATAGAGAGAAGGCTAATCTAAATAAAAATGAAAAACTAATTTTAAAGGATTTATACAATGATAAATCTATTGTAATCAAACCCGCAGACAAAGGCGGGGGCCTTGTTATACTAACAAAAGAGCAATATGAAGAAGAAGCCCACAAACAACTTAATGACCTTACAACCTATACGAAACTTAATAGAGATCCTACAATGGACATCAAAGAAAAGTTTAAATTATTTTTAGACAAAGGACTGGCTACAGGTATATTAGACACAAAAGAATATCAATATATGAATGTCATACATCCAAAAATTCCAGTCATCTATTTTCTTCCAAAGATCCACAAAGATCTAACAAAACCCCCAGGACGTCCCATTGTCTCCGGAATTGGCTCTGCCCTCTCCAATTTATCAGAATACATAGACATTCTACTCCAACCGTATGTTATAAAAGCAAAATCTTATCTTAAAGATACCATAGATCTTTTAAAAAAATTAGAACAAATTATATGGCAAGATGACTATTTACTCATTACCTGTGATGTTCAATCGCTATATACTATTATACAACACGACAAAGGATGTAATGCAGTTAAAATAATTTTAGAAAACGATAATTTTATGGAGCAAGATCAAATTATTTTTTTAATAGAAGGTATTGAACTGATTTTAAAGAACAATTATTTCTGATTTAAAGATTCCTTTTATTTGCAAAATAGAGGCAATACTATGGGTACCAGGTTTGCGCTCAGCTATG